TCGGCTGGATGGAACAGGCTGCTGGGGCAGGGGGCCTATGTCTTCAGGGAGGAAGGAATGCCCAGCCGGGGGGGGGGTCAGGGTTCCCTGACTTAGGGGTGCTCGGGCTGACAAGGCAGCCAGCTCACCATGGTGAAGTTCTCTGGCCCACACGGCTGGCCACGGTAGCGGCAGTCCAGAAGCATTTCCTCCAGGGAGTGGCCGGCACGGGCATAGAGCTGTGCCATGTCAAACGTGGGGCTGGGCATAAAGCCGGGTGGTGCAGGAGGCTGGCCCAGGGCACGCAGGAAGGCAGCGTGCTCGGCCGGGTCCAGGCCCAGGAGCGCAGTCCCGGCCCAGTGCAGGTCGTTGGGTGTGAGGCGGGAGCGGCGCAGGGGGTTGATGTTGCACAGGGTGACGGCTGGGAAGGTGAGCCGGTGGCTCTCCCGCTTCTCCAGCGCGGTCTCGTGGTGGAACTCCCTATAGTAGTGCACTCGCTCAGCCACCTGGTAGAGGAAGGCCGCCAGCGACAGGAGCAGGGCTGTGGCCCATAGCCCTCTGTGCAGGGTCGGGCTCCCAGGGCTGAAGATGTGCCCCAGCCCGTGCAAGGTGCAGTTGCTGGCGAACACCCGGATGTCCGAGGCTGGCCGGCGGGCTTCCTCCAGCCCTGTGGAGGGCTTCATGGCTACACCCTGGGAAGGGGCGCTTGGAAGCAGAGCGAGGGAGGGTAGGTTGGAAGGCTGGTCAAGACAGAATTCAGGCGTCCAGGCAGGTAAGGAAAGCAGATAGAGTGGAAGCAAGGAGAGGAGAGGCTGGGAGAGGAGCGAATGACAGAGGCGGGGAGGCACTGGCCTGCTGGGTTGATGGGGCCTGGTGGTCCAGCCAGGCTGGGTCCAGATCGCGCAGCAGCTCTGCTGTGCTGTGCCGCGCGGTGCCGTGCCGTGGCTCTGTCCGAGACAGTGATGCAGGTAGAGGTTGTGGAGCTGTGTGGAGTTAGAGCTGCGGCAGAGGAGGCAGAGGATTGAGTTTCAGCAGTGAGGGGGGAAAGGGGACCAGGAGAGAAGTCTGGGGGGGGGGCGGGGGAGGTCCCTGGGGCCCAGGCTGAGCCATTAGTGCAGAGTGGGGGGCGGGCACTGCTGTCAGAGATGAGAGGCGCCAGGAGGAAACCGCAGCGGTCTTGGGCACAAGTTGCCAGCCCGGAGACACACTGGGGTGGTGGGGTACCTTTGGGACCCTCGAGGTCTCCTTAAAGTCACTGTACAGCAGGCCTGCTGGTCAGCTGCTGACCCTTTGTCCAGTCCCTCTCTCCTTTTGCTTCTCCTGTCTTCCCATGACCCCTGTCTGGGATCATTTGTTCTTTCTCAGAATGGACTTGGCCCCTCACCAAGCTGGAGAGCGGTGGGGCTTGGCAGGGGCCCAGGTCTTCCTCCTGTGCCCCCAGCACCCCAGACTACCCTGGATGCCAAGGGCCCCTGCATCGGGGTGCTCTGCATTCTGTGTGGCCCTGTCCCCCTAAGGTGTCCCACCCCACCTCTCTAATAACAGCCACCCCAGGAACAGGGGCGCTCTATGCCTCTGTCTTGCTCTTTCACGGGATAGACCTACAGTCCCTGGAAAGTGGCTGCATCCTACTGCATTAGGGGATGTGTTGGGTAACCACAGGCCCCGAGGGCCACGCAGCAGCGCTGCTATGTGTATCACATCAGCCTCCAGAAATAGAACCGCCGGGTCAAGAGGCCACCGCCTTTACAATCTGATAGATGTGGCCCCCCCCTCCACAGCACCTAAGCGACTTTGCATGGCCACCAGTATCGGGGAGGGAGTGTCTGTTCTGAACGGGGACTCCACGCCCTTGAGCCAGCTTGCTGTGTCCTCCAGAGAGCACAGCCACTTGTGATGGTGGAGGGAATTCCTCAGCAGCTGGAAGAGACTTCCAGAAACAGCCACTGGCCACAAGGTTAGTGCTAGCTGGCCCCAAGTGAGACAAGGAACAGCTCAGAGCCAAGGAGCCCCAGGGAGGCCCGCGCAGGACACTGCCTGCCAGGCCTAGCCGGTCACGCCCAGCGCTGTCCTGAATGTTCATGTGCCCCGCGTGTCAGGAAATCGGGCAGCACTTCCTTGGATGCCTGCAGAAGCAAGCTTACCTCCACTAGCTCACGGAGGCGCATTTCTACCCCTTTCTCTGAAAAGCAATGGGGGCCTCCAGATTTACTTTGGTGACCGACCTTGTGGTGCTGCAACTGCTGGTCTGCCCCACTGTTCCTGACGAGCCCTCGTGTTTATGCTTGTGTGTGTGTGTTTGGGGGGGGTGTGCCCCAAGCTCAGTGCCATGGGACAAGTGTGTAACTCTCTGCAAGAAGTGTAAAGTGGCTGGGAGCACAGCTGTACCCACTTCTCCCAACTATTGCCCCACGATCGTTCTGTTGTTTTGATTTAGAGATAGGTAATTGGTTTCTGCAGTGCAGGCTGGCCTTGAACTCAAGATCTTTCCTGCCATACCTCCTGAGGGTTAGGATCCCAGGCATGTAGTACCTATTCAAACTCTGAGTTTTTACTTCATGGAAAATTAGCCCCATTTAATCTTGGAAGAGGCTTTCAAGATAAAGCAATCAGCAATCAGACTGCAGCTGGCCCGAGTAGCTGGCAGAGAAAGGTCAAGGTAAATCACATGGCTGGTGAGCGAGGTGGGGGAGGCGGGTTGGGAGACCATCCTTAACCATCTGAAGCTGTAAGGAGCCCCCAAACCTGGCAGCCCGAGCCTGGTGGCTGGGCACGTGACATGCGAGGCACCTGGCTGGCTGGCCTGTGAGGAGGGGCCAGGCCCAGCCAGGAAATGAAGGCCCTTCTCTGGATTGCTTTTGGAGGAGTATACAGGCCAATTAATCCAGTGCTGGGCTTTGATCAGTCAAGAAGCAGTATACTAAACCCCAGGGCATTATGGTCCTGGGACCTGGGGGTGGCTGCCCCCACAGAAGCATCTGGTTCTAAACTGTGCCCACAAGGGGCTGAGAGTATGTGTCACCTTGGTTCCTGAGGCATACCCGGGGCCCTGACGCCACCTCCAGGCCGGCCTCCCAGCTTCAGCTGTCTGCTCTACCTGCACACTGTTGCCACCACTCTTGAAAGGCTAAACTACCTTTCTTTGCCATAGAAGAGGCTAAACTGTTTGGCTTGCTATGAAGTTGCAGCACCTCTTCCCCTACCCTGGGGAGGAGGGCACCCTGGAGTCCTAGAGCCTAGACATGGTGGATGGGGAACAGTTCCCATTGAGAAACCAAAGCAGGCGGCCAGCAGCCTTGGGGAAGGGCTGGTGCAGCAGTACAGAGACACAGGTCCTGACTTCTTGGTTATCCACCCCCAGCTCAGTGCAGGCATCTTTCCGGTGTCATTTCCTTAGCCCCTGAGAAGCTGAGTGGGACCTAGACCTGCCTCATTCAGTTTTGGGCCACAGTCTTGGCATTCAGGCAGTCTGCCCACATTCACTATGTAGGCCAGGCTGGTTCCAACTCACCACCCTTCTGCCTGGGCCTCCGGAGTGCTGAGATTACAGGTGTCTTCTTTTTTTGTTGTTGTTAGGCATGGGACTTGAACTCAGGGCCTGGATGCTGTCTGAGCATTTTCACTCAAGGCTAGTGCTCTACTACTTGGAGCCACAGGTCCACTTCTAGTGTCTCTAGGACTTTCTTGCCTGGGCGGGCTTCGAACTGTAATCCTCAGATCTCTGCCTCCCAATTTGCTAGGATTCCACGTGTGAATCCTTCTTTCTTCTGGAAATAACTGGATTTGAACTCTTGGCCTATGGTTTGTTAGGTACACTTGCCCCCACCTGAACCCTACCCTATCCCTTTTTTGCCTCAATCAGTTCACCCCACTGCCCCCCACCCCCTAGGGTCTCACATTTTTGCCTGGGGTTAGTCTGGACTAAGATCTTACCTATAGCCTTCTAAATACCTTGGATTACAGGCTTGGTGCAGAAGGCGTGGTGAGACCCTGTTAAGCCAGGGTCTCACTAACTTTTTGCCTGGACTGGCCTTCAATTGCAATCCTCCTGATCTTTCCCTTTGGAGTAGCTGGGATTACAGGTGTAAGCCACTGTACCAGACCTGCCCATTTTTCAAGGAGATGCTACCATCTTACCCTCTCCATGAACCTCCCTGTTCCTCAGCCCAACTTCACACTGCATTTGCATTAACTGCTCCCTTTGGTTTCCTACTTGCAACTACAGCTCTGCAGCCCAGCCTTCTGGGTGTGCAGCAATCCCTTCTCAGCCTTCTTCAGTACAGGGAAGGCTGCCCACAGTCTTATCAGGCCAGAGTCTTAAGGTATACAGAGCAAAGCCAAGAGCGCTCAGCCAGGCAGGCGGTGTTACTGATGGGGCCGGGCCACCCTGCCCCACCCTTCCCAACTTGACCCAAGAGCCAGGTGGGCAGGCATCTGTCCTGCTGGAGGGGAGGTGAAACTCAAAAATCTAGGCCCTTTGTTGGGCTTCAGTGGCTTACGCCTGTAATCCTAGCTACTCAGGAGGCTGAGATCTGAGGATTCCAGTTCAAGGCCAGACGGGGCAGTAAAGTCCATGAGACTCTTATCCCCAGTTAGCCACCAGAAAGCCAAAAATGGAGCTGTGGTTCAAGTGGTAGAGTGCCAGCCTTGATTGAAAAAGCTACCCTTAGTCTTAGCACCCAGGCCCTGAGTTCAAGCCCCAGCATTCACCTCCTCCCTCCTCCACATATACACCTAGGAGGAAGAGAGGCTGTCTGGAAGATGGGCCAAGGTGAGGCTCCCTCTCCCAGACAGGCGATGGGGGACAAGCGCGTGTGTGTCCGTCCCTGGTCTAGGGAAGAAAAGCCCTGGCAAGGGGTAGCATACCTAGGTTTGAATTGCCAGGATCCCTGGAGCTGGTACCTGAGCGGCTTCAGGCAGCCAGGCAGAGCTGGGCTGAAGAGAAAGGCGCAGGCGGAGGAGTCTGGGGCTGCCTTGCCTGAGAACAGACCAATGATTCCAGCACTCTGGTGGGAAGGAGGTGGCAGGCAGCAGGGTGGGGAGGTCCACCTCCCAGCCCAGTTGCTGGGCCGTGTTTTATTGTGAGCAGAGGAGCAGCGGTGGTGGCCACACCCCAGTATGCTGGCCAGCTCCCAAGCTGAGCCCCAGCTAACGCTTGGCAGTAAGACTGAACCTCAGACGGTGACTCTCAAGGTCTGTGCTGGCCGTTCCTGGGACTTTCTCGTTTCTCCTGATGTGCAGTGGCAGTCGGTGGGGCATCCAGGGCCTGCCTCCGGATGAGCTCTGCGTAGAGCCCGCCTTTCTTCACGAGTTCTTCATGGGTTCCGGCCTGGAAGACCACAGGAGGGTTACTCCACCAGCAGCAAACTCAGAGCCCTGGGAGGGCTGGCCTTCACCAAGCATCCAGCCTAGGTCACTTCCGCCAGTGCCATTTCTGGGGATCCCGGGAACCCACAGCCCCATGGGAAGGGCACTGGCTGAGGCAGGGCTGGCTCCATTTGGAGAAATGCACCCCTTCCCTCAGGTAAGGGAGTGGGGAGGCCCTTAGACTTTGCCTCTGACCCTGGGAGCGCCAGTGCTGCTGGACCATCTTAGGGGAGAGAGGATGAACTTGAACCTGGAGAGCCTGGAGCTCATCTGAGGGCAGGAATTCTTGGATGTGTTGAGATGCTGCTTCTAGACATGGTTCCCAATGCCCGGGGCCTGGCCAGGCGCTGGCACAGCTCAGTGGGCATCTCCTGATCCACTGCCCGTGGCTGAAGCCAATCTCTAAGAGGCCCCACCCATGCCATCCCACTTCCGGCTCCCTAGTCCACACTGACCTCCCAAACCTGGCCCTTGGCCATGACGATGATGTGGTGTGCTGCACGGACGGTGCTGAGCCGGTGGGCAATAACCAGCACAGTGCGGCCAGCGCTGGCCCTGTCCAGGGCCTCCTGCACCACCTGCTCTGACTCCGCATCCAGGGCACTGGTGGCCTCGTCCAGGATCAGCACCGTGGGCTGCTTGATGAGGGCACGGGCGATGGCCAGGCGCTGCTTCTGGCCACCAGAAAGGGTTGCACCCCGCTCGCCTGAGAAGGGACAGGGCAGAGTAGTGAGGGAAAGGCACCAAGTCCCTCCTGACGTTCCATCTTGCACGCTCAGTAGTCTCTGAGTGACCCCAGCAGTGCAGTGCTCATCCTGTCCCTGAGGCCTGGGTGTGGGGGGACACCTGGCACGTTTCTCTTCTTATCCCTGTGACAGACTGCGCGCGCGCGCGTGCACACATACACACCCCCCAAATGCACGTGGCCATGGCATACAGCAGGGCGCGCGCGCGCGCGCGCGCGCACACACACACACACACACACACACACACACACACACACACACACACACACACACAGGTGGTCAGCTCCCTTCCCTGTGCCTGCAGCAATGGCCGCCCTCTGGCCCCCCAAACATGGGCTGTGAAGTGTAGAAACTTCAGGCAAGGCAGGATTTGAAGCCCAGGGAGGACAGCAAAAGTGAGAGAGACTTGCTGAGGCCAGTGTCTGTGGCCCAGCGCTAGCGATCCCTGTGTTCCATGTCACTAATGTAGCTGTGTTCTTGCCAGCAAGACTCTCCCTCCCTTCCTCCCTCCCTCTCTCTCTCTCTCTCTCTCTCTCGTCGGTTGTGGGGCTTGAACTCTGGGCCTGGGCGTTGTCCCTCAGTTCTTCAGCTCAAGGCTAGCACTTGCTTTACCACTTGAGCCATAGCACCATTTCCAGTTTTTCTGGTGGTTAGTGGGAGATAAAGAGTCTCACAGGGGCTGGGAAGGTGACTCAGTGGTAGAGTGCTTGCCTTGCATGCATGAGGTCCTGGGTTCAATTCCCCAGCACCACATAAGCAGAAAAAGCTGGAAGTGGCGCTGTGGCTCAAGTGGTAGAGCACTAGCCTTGAGCTGAAGAGCTGAGGGACAGTGCTCAGGCCCAGAGTTCAGGCCCCACGACTGATCCTCATATCTCAGCCTCCTGAGTAGCTAGGATTACAGGAGTAAGCCACTGACGCGCAGCCCACAGTTATTCTCTTAAAAGGTACAGGAACATTCTGGAGACAAGATGCTGGGCAGTAAATCTGACTCCCAATATGGAATGAAGATGTAAGGCTGGGAGCTTCAAGATGCACACACTCGTGGCTGTTGTACATCGCCTGTCCCAGGGCCATTCGTGCCTCTCCTGGGAGTCAGGAGACCTGAACAAGACATCACCCCATCTTCAAGAGCACAAGAACAAGACGGGTAACCTGGGAACTACAAGCGCAAGAAATAACGACAAGCATCCTCCACTCACTGCACTGGGAATGCGGCAGGCTCTGTGAAGGCTTGTCTGTGCCCAGACTCCTGTCACGTGGAGCCACATGATCTCTGCCGCTTTGCTGGCCCTTGCCTATCTCCGTAGCCTGTCTGGTTTGCTGTGCCCAGGCCAATATGGGCTAGGACTCCCCTGTCCCCAGAGAGCCATCTCTGTCCTCGCTGCCGCAGTCCTGCTGCCCCGGCCTCACCAAGCCCCAGCGGACGGCTCACTGCCCACAGGATCTCAGCAGACTCAAGCAGGATGCCAGCCCTGAACTTACCCACAATAGTGTTGTAGCCCTCGGGGAAGCTGCTGATGAACTCGTGGGCATTGGCTTCTCGTGCAGCTGCGTACACCTCCTCATCCGACGCATCCACTTTCCCGAAGCGGATGTTCTCCATGATGGTCGTTCCAAACAGGACTGGCTCCTGGGGGGGAGGGAGAACCAAGCTGGAATCCACAGACATTCTGCCTCTACCTCCGAGAGAATGTCAGGGGCTGCCACAGGTATAGACTATTTTGACAGATTCCTTGAGAGATCTAAGGGACAGCCAGAAGTTCAAAGTCTGGTCAAGCGGAGTGGCCAGGCAAGCAGAGGTGCCTTTTACTAAGGGCACAGACTGCTTCCCGAAAGGAGGGGTAAGGTGGAAGGCATGGGGGCCCCCAGCTCGTACCTGGCTGATGAAGCCAACAACCTGGCCCCGGAGCCAGGAGGGGTCGAGGGTGCGTAGGTCATACCCGTCCAGCGTCACCACACCGGCTGTGGGGTCGTAGAAGCGTTCCAGCAGGGAAGCCACTGTGGTCTTTCCTGGAGGGGGGGTGGTGAGGAAAGCAGGCTGTCCCAGGAGACGGACCTCTGTGGCAATGACGAACCCTCCCCGCCCCCCAGCCCCCCGGTCCAGGGAGGTGCAGAGCCTCAGAGACTGGGTTCATTACTCCCAGCCAGGCTCCTGGTGGCTCCCAGAGAATAGTGAGGTGAGGCAGTGCCGGGGCTCCCCTTACCTCCTCCAGATTGGCCCACCAGGGCCACAATCTTGCCAGGGGGCAGTGTCAGGGTGAAGTCCGTGAGCACCTCAAAGCCGGGACGGCAGGGGTAACTGGGAACAGCCAGGAGCCCCAGTTAGCTCAGGCTCCAAGGCCCCTGCTACCCTCCTCCCTCCTCAGAAGCCCCAGGCCGGCCTCCCGCCTTGCCCCTCGCAGTCTAAGCTGCAGGTCCCGGCTCCACTCTGTCCACTCATGCTCACCTGAAGCTGACGTTCTCAAAGGTGACTGCGCCGCGCAGCTGCGTGCTGGGGATGCAGGAGCCCCCCGACAGAGGGATGCAGGGACTCAGGGCCATGTATTCAAACACACGGGCACCTGCGCTGAGCCCACGTACCACCTGCAGGGGGATCCAGAGCTTGGGTGAGGTGGGAGTTGGGACTCGCAGGAAAGCACTCTGCTGGGGGCCACACAGGGGATGCAGCATGCCTGGAGCTGGCCACAGCCCTGGGCCTCAGGACTCCTTCCTCTCCCCAGACCTACCCTCACACAAGGGCAGTGCCCACGCAACCCCAGGGGTGGGTAGTCCCAGTCCAGATCAGGGTGACCGATCTTGTGACCCCCCCCCCACTCACCTGCCCAAACAGTACAGAGAGGCTGGCCATGGACCTGCAAGGAAAGAGGGTGGAAAGCATGGTGATGAGAGCCAGAAAGAAGCGGGGAGGCTCCTGTGGCGCAATTGGTTAGCTAATACTTACAAAAATGGAGAGGCGAGGACACGGGGTTGTGGGACAAAGGCGGCCCCTCCCCGGGAGCTAGAGCTCTGGGACACCTCACCGAGGGTCAATGCCCTCCTGGATTGCAGATGGCAGCTGTTTGCCAGCCTACTCTAGACCTGGAGGCAGGGTCCAGGAGGCAATGGGTGAGCAAAGGCCTGGGCCTCAGTGCAGTGTCTACACCATCCTGGTCTATAGTGCGCAGAATGAAGCCAGGTCATGGCACCTCAAGTGCTCGAGGAGGGGCCCCCCGCCTTAGCCTTGACAGATGTCACAGCGCTGTGGCCCCCATGGAAGGTCAGGTCTAATGCTGAACTCCTGGGAAAACAATGACACATCCACATGAAGGTAGAAGAAAAGAAAGTCGTCTCAGCCAGGTATTGGTGGCTTTCCTCCTAGCTAGCCAAGAGATGGGGGTCTGAGGATCACGGCCTGGGCAGGAAAGTTCTTGAGACTAATTAACCAGCAAAAAGCTGGAACTATAGCTCAAGTGGTAGAGCTCCAGCCTTGAGCAAAAAACCAAAGGACAGCACCTAAGCCCCAAGTACACACACTAGTATTGTTACCAAAACAAAGAAAACCTCTAGGAGAAAACAGAAAAGGGCCAGGGGACTACAGGGAACACTGGGGAGACCCCAGAAGAAAATTTCCTGACAAGGAAGTGGAGCTGTGGCTTAAGTGGTAGAAGGCTTGCCTTGAGCTGAAGAGCTCAGGGCAGCACTCAGGCCCAGAGTTCAAGTCCCATGACCAACAAAAAGCAAAAACAAAACAAAAAACAAAATCAGAAAATTTCCTGACAGAATTGGCATTTGGGGCCTTGTTGTGCAGGTGTGTGTGTGTGTGTGTGTGTGTGCAGGAGATGGGCATGTTTATCTGTCTAGACTGTGGGTCGCCTCTTTTGTCCCAACAGGGCTGGGGTTGGGGCTGACCAGCTGCTGTGAGCTGAGCGGCAGGATGACTCAATGGCCTGTTAGTCATGGGTCCCCAATGGCCTGGCTGACCCGAGGCAGCCTGAGTGGCACTGTGTGTGCTGGGGACTGGGGAAGACTGACTCCTCAGCACTGTGGGCAGCAGACTCATTTCTCCCAGTGCCACAATTGGGGGTTGGAGGTACCCCAAAGCCCACAAGGAAGTGGTTCTGGCAGGCTCCAGGGCATGAGTGCTTGCCACAGGGAGGAGTAAGGCCAGGGAGCTATCTGTGCGTGGGGAGGGGACCAGTTTGAGAGGTCTGCAAGCCATTAGGGCCTGGCAAGCGAGCTGGCTGCAACTGAAATCCAAAACGCACATGACTCATCGGGTGCAATGACCTTGCTCTGAGATACCGCAGGCTGCGCTCCTTCCCAGGTGGGGCAAGGTCCTGAATTGTGATGAGCTGCAGTCTGTCCGGGTTCTGTTCTCTCTCTGCCCTGTCTGTCCTTCCCCCGGGATGCCAGTACTGACATACACACCCCCAGGTGCCCAGCAGGATCTGATTCTTGTGTCAGCCATCTGGGTGAGGGCCTAAGACAATGCATGCTGGCTCCCAGGGCCCTCCTGCTGCTGAAATGTGATCGTGCGCAAGGCTGTGGGGAGGTGAGGAGTCAGAAAGAAGTGGGGTGGGGCCTAGCGGTCCTCTGGGTCCTCAGGACTAGAAAGATCTTCCTGACTGGAGGTCAGAGCCCAGTCTCATGAGAGAATGGAGTCAGCATGGGCATCACTCCCTACATCAGGGCATCTGGATTCCAAAGCTACCAGGCAACAGTTCCTGAGTCAGAAGAGGGATGAGGCTCCTCGGGCCCAGAGAGAATCTGGGAAACGTGGAGCAAAAACAGTGGAGGAGCCAGGCGCTGGTGGCTCACGCCTGTAATCCTAGCTACTCAAGAGGCTGAGATTTGAGGATTGCAGTTCAAAGCCAGCCAGGGCAGGAAAGTCTGTGAGACTCTTATCGCCAATAAACCACCAGAAAACCAGAAGTGGCGCTGTGGCTCAAGTGGTAGAACACTAGCCTTGAGCTGAAGAGCTGAGGGACAGCGCCCAGGCCCAGAATTCAAGGCCCATGACAGACCAAAGAAAAACAACAACAACAAAAACCCAACAACAACAGTGGAGGATGGCAGTTGTGCAGCAGTGGGAATGGGCAGACTGCTTCAAGCAACAGCGTCTGGGCCAAGAAGTGTTTCTTCTGTTTGGCTTAAGAATAGGCTGTCCAACACCTCTTCTTTGGCTAGTTTCAGTTTAAGTGGGCCAGTAATAAGCTTGATGCTGAATGATTCTATAAGAAATGGATACCAGCCAGGCGCTGGTGGCTCACGCCTGTTATCCTAGCTATTCAGGAGGCTGAGATCTGAGGATCACGGTTCAAAGCCAGCCTGGTCAGGAAACTCCATGAGACTCTCCAATAAGCCATTAGAAAACCGGAAGTGGCGCTGTGGCTCAAGTGGTAGCGCGGTCGCCTTGAGCTGAAGAGCTGAGGGACAGTGTCCAAGCCCAGAGTTCAAGCCCCACAACTGACAAAAAAAAAAAAAAAAGAAAAAGAAAAAAAGAAATGTACACCGAGTATTGATCACTCATGTCTGTAGTCCTATACTCAGGAGGCTGAGACCTGAGGATCAAAGTTTGAATCCAACATCAGCAGGAAACTCCATGAGACTTATTTCCAAATAAACAGCAAAAAGCTGAAAGTGGAGGTGTGGCTCAAATGGTAAAGGGCTAACCTTGAACTAAAAAGCTTAGGGGGGGGCAGGGCTGGGAATGTGTCAAAAAAAAAAAAGTTATGGGACATTGCCTAGGCCTTGGGATTAAGCCCCAGTCCCAGCAACAAAACAAAAACAAAAAAAAACAACAAAAAACAGAGGCTGGGAATGTGGCTTGGTGATACAGTGCTTGCCTAGCATGCATGAAGCCCTGGGTTCATTCCTTGGTACTGCATAAACAGAAAAAGCTGAACGTGGCCCTGTGGCTCAAGTGGTAGAGCATTAGCCTTGAGCAAAAGAAGCTCAGGGAAGGCTGGGAAGGTGGCTCAGTGGTAGAGTGCTTGCCTTGCATGCATGAGGCCCTGGGTTCAATTCCTTAGCACCATAGCAGAAAAAGCTGGAAGTGGCGCTGTGGCTCAAGTGGTAGAGTGCTAGCCTTGAGCTGAAGAGCTGAGGGACAGCGCCCAGGCCCCAGGACTGGCAGGGAGGGGGGATGGGGAGGATATACAATTGTGGCAAGATAAGATTCTGAGCAAGGATGGGGCACCACTAGAATGTCAGCGCCGAGGAAGGCCAGCGGGCAAAGGGAAGAGCCATGGGGTGGATGGGGTTATCTATTTTCTTGCCGTGACTGGTGGTAACAGGTCTTTACTCTTTAATTATTTATTATAGCATAGTCACTCTTTAATTATTTATCCTAACATATATTTATGTACTTTTCATACTTGCTATGTGTGGGGAAACGCAAAGAGGAGCACAGCAGTAGGAACCACTCACCCTGGGCTGGGGAAGTGAAGGACGGGAGGGCTGCTGGGAAGAGGCGGCTGATGGACAATGGCCTGGCCAAGGCAGACAGGGCCCTGATGAGCAGGTAGCTCCAGATGAAGGTAAACAGGCAAGCTACAGGGTGACAGTCCCAGGGACAGAGGGCCTGCGCTCATCCCAGGAAACAGTCAAGCAGATGACAGGTAGAGGAGAGGCACACCCTTAGAAATCCTATGAAGGGCCAGTTGGCGCATGCCTGCAATCCTAGCTACTCAGGAGGCTGAGATCTGAGGATCTCAGTTTAAAGCCCTGTTGGGTCAGAAATGTCTCCAACAAACCAGTAAAAAGCCAAAACAAGAGTTTTGACTTAACTGGTAAAGTGCTCACTTTGAATGTTAAAGGCGAGCAAGAGCGGCCTTGAATTCAAGGCCCAGTATCAACCTCCTCCCGAAAAACAAAAAACAACGTAACAAAGTTGCAGCATGCTAACCTGGAGGAGCCTGGAATACTGGACACATATGGACAATGCTGCATGACTGCAGAGGAGCAGTAGTGCTATGGGGGCGGGGAGGTATGCAGTCTCCCTTACAGAGAATCAGTGTTGGGCAACAGGTGCTGGTACTGGGTGCAGGGCCCTGCCATGTGCTTGACCCAACTGAGTGTGCCCTCAGGAATGCACACAGCAAACCGGGCGCTGGTGGCTCATGCCTGTAATCCTAGCTACTCAGGAAGCTGAGATCTGAGAATTGAGGTTCAAAGCTGGCCAGGGCAGGAAAGTCTGTGAGACTCTTATCTAATTAACCACCAGAAAACCAGAAGTAGCACTGTGGCTCAAAATGGTAGAGTGCTAGCCTTGATCAGAAGAACTTAGGGACAGTGCCCAAGCCCTGGGTTCAAGCCCCATGACCAACAAAAACAAAAAAAGACCAAAAAGAAAGGAAAAGAAAAGAAAAGAAAAGGAAAGCGGGGGCTGGGAAGGTGGCTCAGTGGTAGAGTGCTTGCCTTGCATGCATGAGGCCTGGGTTTGATTCCTCAGCACCACATAAGCAGAAAGAGCCAGAAGTGGTGCTGTGGCTCAAGTGGCAGAGTGCTAGCCTTGAGCTGAAGAGCTGAGGGATAGTGCCTAGGCCCAGAGTTCAAGCTCCACAACCAACCAACCAAAAAAAAAAAGGGGGGGGGCTGGAAGGTGTCTCAGTGGTAGAGCGCTTGCCTTGCATGCATGAGGCCCTGGGTTCGATTCCTCAGCACCACATAAGCAAAAAGGAAAAAAAAAGCCAGAAGTGGCGCTGTGGCTCAAGTGGTAGAGCGCTAGCCTTGACCTGAAGAGCTGAGGGACAGCACCCAGGCCCAGAGTTCAGGCCCCACGACCGGACCCCAAAAAAAAAAAACCAAAAAACAAAGTGGCAGAATGTTAGCCTTGAGCAACAGAGCTCAGGGACAGTGCCCAGGCCATGAGTTCAAGCCCCATGGCTGACAAAACAAAAAAAACAACAACAACAAAAAACAATAACAAACAGCCTGAGATCAGGCCTTAGTATTGGTGTGTGTATGTGTGTGTGTGCGCGCGTGCACTAGCGCAGAGCTTTTCATAGACACTTGTGAGTTGCCTGGGAAGCCAACAATGCCAGACACATTTCTAAGTGGGGACTCAGCACATCAGCCTGCTCTTGAGGCAAGCTGAGGCTCTCCAGCTGGGCAGGTCCAGGACTGGTCAGTGGTTATGCAGAGCATGCTGGCACCCTGGGCTGGCAGCGCTCTGCACAGTGGCAGAGGGCACCATTGGGATGGAAAGGGCCCGACTCACCTCTGCACAGTCTGGGAGGCCACCAGGAAGGACATAAGGTCTCCCCCTGTCAGCTGCTGTCCAGCCACGAGAGAGCCCCCAATGAACAGCGTGCCTAGGACCATGCCTGTGTGGGGAGAGGACGGGAAGGAAGAAATGCCCAAGGATGAGCAATGAGCTCAGTGTATCAGTCCCGAATCCACATCCTGTTCTGCCAGGAGCTAAGTGGAACCCAGTAATGTCTCCCCACAAACTGTTCTGGGGTAATGGTGGTGCTCAGTACTCTCCTGTTACCTGCAGGCATGAGCAGCCAGGGTACCTGGCAAATAAAGGTGATGGTCAATATGGAGAGGTGTTCTCACCTATCTTTGCTCCCCCTGAGCCATGCCTGCCCCCTAGGGGTACAGGGCGAGAGGGCTCGCTCACTCACAGTTGAACGCAATGTTGGAAAGCCCTTGGAACGCGGCGATGCCCCTGCCCAGCTCCTCTGCTTTGCAGCGGCAGTCCTCCAGCTCAGCTCCATAGCGTCTGGGGACAAGGGCCAGGTCAGGCACTCAGGAAGCAGATGGGTTGGGGCGCAGGGCAGGGAGGGGGGCTGGGGGGGATGTTGGGAGAGGATACTGCTCTGTGTTCCACCCCTGCAGAACTCACTCCTCTTCCCGTTGCTCCATGGCGAATGCCCGCACAGTCCGAACGTTGCCCAGAGCCTCATCTGCTACGCCCGTGGCCCTGGCAATCTGCATGGAGGCCAGGAAACAGGCAGTGATGGAGGGCAGGCCAGAGAGGTCAGGGGCAGGCAGGGGAGATGGGTGGGATTCCTGTACCTGCTCCTGACACTGGCGGGACAATCTGCGGAGACTGGAGCCCATCAGAGTGCCGACTCCCATCAGGATGGGCGTCGTGATGGCCAGCAGCAGTGTGAGGCGTGGGGACAGCATGGACAGGGACACCAGGCAGCCGGCCACCTGGGTGCAGCTACGAAGCCCCTGGGCGGTGGGAAGAGGGCAGGAGGCTACTGAACACAGTCACGGTGACATGGCCCATTACCAAGGGTGGACTGGCTACAGATTTGCACAAACAAGGCCCAGGCTAAGAGATGGTCACTAGTCACCAAACAGAACCCTTTTGTGGACAGCTAGGTTCTGACCAGGAGGTATTATGGGATGGGAACATCCATGTACCATACGTTCTTTCCTGTAAACAAATTTCAGTTTGCTTCTTTCTGTTCTGGAAACTATACTAAGAGAACCTAGGGAGATACCACTGCTGGCTGACATGGGCGGTGTCTGGCTAACCCAATGGCCATCAGTGATGGTGGGGGGCGGCCAGGGGAGGGCACCAGTATGCAGAAACGAGCCGTCATGCCAGCTCAGGGCTGGCAGGGGTGAGCACTCAGGGACAGGACTGACTCTAGGCTGAGCCCTTGGGGAATGCAATCTAAGGAAGGTCGGATATCACAACCCGGAGAGCAAGCTGTTCTGGCCTTCCTCCATGGATGTCACGTTTCCTCAGGTTCCACCTCTGCTCTGGACCCCACAGCAGGGCTGGGGCTGGTCTGGTGCGTCTGCATGGGGGGTGGGAGGCTGTATTCAGGAGGGGGCCTGGACCACTGACCTGGGAGATGACCAGCTTGAAGGATGACTTAAACTCCTGAACATCAGTGGTCAAACGGCTCACCAGCTGCCCTGTCTTTTTGGCATCAAAGAAAGCAATGTCTTGTCTGGTGATGAGAGACGGGGCAGCAGGTGTGTGTGTGGGGGGGAGAGAGACATTACTTCAGGAGGTGACCCACCCCCAGAGCCTCCCTTGGACCCCTTAGGGGCCTTAGTCACCCCAACCCTGTACCCGGCTGCTGGCAGTACCGGAGCAGATTGTTGAACAAGGCCTTCCGCATGTCCACAGCCATGCGCTCGCCGATGTGAGACAGCAGTACCAGGTACCCGAAGGTCAGCAGTCCCTGTGAGAGGCAGGTGGTTTAGGGGTTCCCTAGGAAGGCCTCTCTGCCCAGGCCCTCCTACCCTGCTGTACCTGGATGCCATAAAGGAGGAGCAGGTGGGTGCTGACACGCCGGGACTCAGACATGAAGCTCCCCATGTGTTCCCTCGTGTACTTGGCCACGATCTCTACCAGCTGGCCCAGGAGCAAGGGGATCTGTACATTCACCAGGGCCGCGCCCAACGCCAGCTGAGACAGGGCAGGGCAGAGGGGACAGATGCTTGGAGGGTAGGGAGGGGGTGCTATCTTCCCCCTCCCTAGCTGAGTCTTGTTCTTGTCCACACTGGCTGCTCGTGGGGACTCAGCAAGGCTTCTCTGAGAGCTAAGGCCCAGGCTCCTTGCCCCGCCCTGCTCCCAGTATCCCACAAACCCAGCCCCCTCTGCACCGTTCCTCTTTAGTACCCTGAGTCCCAGGGCCCCAGGACACAGCAGCAAGATGTCCCTGAGCAGTCCAGGCTGGGGGCAGGGTCTTCCTGTTTGTAGTATGGAGGAAGGAGAAAAGCCTCACCACAATGGCTGCCCCCAGGAGCAGCAGGTGGGGTCGCAGAAAGTGCCAGAAGAGCTTCCAGTTAAATCGAGACTCCACCACACAGGGTGCAGAGCAGGCAGGCGGGGCCTCTTCTGCCTTACACAGTGCCACAAGGCAGAGGTGGGGACCCTTACATAGCACCGCAGGGCCCAGCAGCGCCCCCCCAACCCAGCACCAGGCCGACGGGCTCCGGCTGGGAGCTGGCGAGGCTCGAGGGAGGTAGGCCCGGAGCTGTGACCGAAGCTGGGCTATGGCTCTGAGGAGGGATGAGCTGAGGTGACCATCTGGGGACCTGCAAGGAGAAAAGGACAAAGATAGTACTGTCCCACACGTCCCTCAAATGACCAACAAACCCCTTGAGCTGCTCCTCTGGAAGCAGAGTTTTCTCTTCATCCACGCCTTCTTCTCCACCTCTCTCCAAGCTGGAGTTGTTTGCTCTTGTTCTTTTTTTTTGGTTGGTTGTGGGGCTTGACCTCGGCCTGGGCGCTGTCCCTCAGCTCTTCAGCTCAAGGCTAGCGCTCTACCACTTGAGTCACAACACCACTTCCGGCTTTTTTTCTGCTTATGTGGTGCTGAGGAATCGAACCCAGGGCCTCATGCATGCAAAGCAAACAATCTACTGAGCCACCTTACCAGCCCTCTTTTTCTTTTTTAATTTTTTTTTTTTTTTTGGTCGGTCATGGGGCCTGAACTCTGGGCCTGGGTGCTTTCCCTCAGCTCTTCAGCTCAGGCTAGCGGTCTACAGCTTGCTTGAGCCACAGCGCCACTTCTGGCTTTTTTCTATTTATGTGGTGCTGAGGAATCGAACTCAGGGTCTCATACATGCAAGGCAAGCGCTCTACCACTGAGCCACCTTCCCAGCCCCACCAGCCCTCTTTTTCTTTTTTGAAACAATATCTTAGAACGTTTTCCTGGACTGGGAATGTAGCTTAGTGGTAGAATGCTTGCCTCGCACACACAAAACCCTGGGTTCGATTCCTCAGTACCACATACACAGAAAAATTCAGAAGTGGAGCTGTATCTTAAGTGGTAAAGTGCTAACCTTGAGCATAAGAAGCTCAGAGACAGTGCCCAGGCCCTGAGTTCAAGCCCCAGGACCAGCAAGAAAAAAAAAAAAAAGTTTTCCTGTGCAGCCAGCCTTCAGCGCCTGGGCTCAGGCCAGGCTCTGCCTCCTCCTCCCAAGAAGCTAGGACTGTAGCACTGCGGAAACGATTGCATGCTGCCGCATCTCGCTTCAAGGCTGCTCTCTTAAGCAACTTCAAGTTCTATAATGAAAGCACACATGCAAAGTAGCTATGGAATTTGACTCTGAGCACCAAATATAATCTTCAAAGTGTTCTCTACCCTCTCTGCACAATCTCCAAGCGAGCCCCTGCCAGCACCAGCCAGAGGCCCCACTTAACCTCCCAAGACACCAAGTCTGGTCAGCGCTGGTTTCCAGGTCCTGTTTTTCACAATCCTGGCTTACCAGGGCTGGTGGGCAGATGAGATGACAGCCACCAGTCCAGGACATTCTTCTGATAGAAAGGGACCCAGAAGTGCTAGGTGCCTAAGGCTCAGAGGTAAGCTGAGACGTGAGCTCCCGTTCTATGCCTCCAGGACACAGGATCACAGTGACAAGGCAGACACAGTTCAGTGCTGAGCTCACCCCTTTGGACTCCCAACCCCCCACCTCCCAGGAGATGCCCTGATTCTCACTTGATAGTACAAAATGTATGCAAAATTGAAATCTGATATAATTTGTCCTCAGGCAACAGAAATGGAATGAGAGGAGCTCTTGATGTCTAGTTCCAGGAATCAGACTCATTCTACTCTGCCTGGTTCCACTTTGCAAAAACACAGTATGCCCAAGGCTTATATGCAAAGGTCCAGGTCAGCAGGTGACCAAAGGTCTCTGACTTACTCTACCTCATCACCCTACCTCCCCCTCCTGGGCCTAGTGCTGTGTGCAGCGATGCATGGAGGAAAAGAGCCACATGCTCTCCCTCCACCAGAGGATGGAGAAAACACAAAACAACCACAAAGGGGGCTGGGAAGGTAGCTCAGTGGTAGAGCGCTTGCCTTGCATGCATGAAGGCCTGGGTTCGATTCCTCAATACCACATCAACAGAAAAAGTCGAAGTGGCACTGTGGCTCAAGTGGTAAAGCGCTTGCCTTGAGCACGGAGAGGCTCAAGGACAGTGCCCAGGCCCTGAGATCAAGGCCCAGGACAGGCCAACAAACAAACAAAACAAAACAAACAAATAAAAAGCCTACAAAGGTCTTAAGATGCGTGCTCATGGCTCATGCCTATAATCCTAGCTATTAAGGTGGCTGAGATCTGAGGATCTCAGTTCAAAGCTAGCCCAGGTAGGAAAGTCTGTGAGATTCTTATCTCCAAATAACCACCAAAAATGCTGGAATTAAAGGTGTGCCTCAAGTGGTAGAGCACTAGCCTTGAGTGAAAAGCTGAGACAGCATCTAGGCCCTGAGTTCAAGCCCCAGTACAGGTGAACACACACACACAAATCCAAAGGACTTATCTTGTTACCTTGTTTAGGCCAAGCCCTCTGGTACCTTTAGGGGCCATATCTATAAAATGTAATGTATATTCAACTGTTCAAAACATCTGTAAACCTACTGCGTGCAGGTGCTGAGAGTATGAAGATAAAGACAAGCAAAGTAACTACTAGACGGGTGGCCCCATGGTCAGGCACAGGAAACTGGAGCCACACTGAGAACACAGAGCGGGTGCTGCTGTCCATCAGAGGCACAGATCAGACTGCATAAACACAAGTTGGCCAGTATAGGTAGCTGTAGGGAAAAGACAGGAAAGCTCAAGGCAGAGGGGAAGCAGGTGGGTGTCTGCAGGAAGAAAGGATGAGAAGTTTCATCAATGTGGCAGAGGACAGTCACACCGAAGAAAGTCACGGACTTGAGAGGCTCAGTCATTCCAGTTTCTACAAGGCATCTGGGCTTCAGATGGCAATGAAGAGTGCTGTCCAAGCCCACTTGTGGTTTTTTTTTTTAGGCTAGGGTAGAACATAATCAAATTTGCATTTTTAAGGTCATAGCAGAGGGAACAGGTACCGGTGGCTCATGCCTATAATCCTAGCTACTCAGGAGGCTGAGATCTGAGGATCCGGTTCAAAGCCAGTCTAGGCAGGAACATCCCCTGAGACTCTTATCACCAACTAATCACCAGAAAACTGGAAGTGGCACTGTGGCTCAAGTGGTAGAGTGTTAGCCTTGAGCTGAAGAGCTGAGGGACACGGCCCAGACCCAGAGTTCAAGCCCTACAACCAATAATAAAGAAAAAAAAAATCATAGCAGAGGGAAGTGAGACAGAACTGGCTAGAGAGGCTAGTTAGAAGCAAAAGTTATCTGGCTAAAGAGGACTTGATGGGATACTCAAAGACCCAAGAGACTAATAATAGGGAAAGGCTCAGAAGTCAGACGTGGTGGTACACGTTTGTAGCACTAACACTTCGGAGGCTGAGACAGGAGGATCATGAATTTCAGGCTTGTTTGAGCTACATAGAGACCCTGTTTCAAACAAAACAAAACAAAAATAACAATGAAAAAGACTATAGTGAGAGTTTTTTTTTTCCTTCACCATCATAATTTTTCATTTTCCCAGACTCTTCTTTTTTTTTTTCCTTTTTTCTTTTTTGTTGGTTGTGGGGGCTTGAACTCTGAGCCTGGGTGGTGCTGTCCCTCAGCTCTTCAGCTCAAGGCAAGTGCTCTACCACTTGAGCCACAGTGCCACTTCCAGTTTGGAGATAAGCTTCTCACACTTTCCTGCCCCAGATGGCTTTGAACTGCAATCCTCAAATCCTCAAATCTCAGCCTCCAGCACCTAGCTCCAGATTATTCTAATTAGACTATCTCCTCCTTTCTCTACTTCAAGGAGGTCTGTACTTCTCGCCATATGGATGGACATGATGCTTTCCCAGTGCCCATTCCACCTGCCTAGTCTGTTTTGTTTGCCAGTATTTCCTAATGTCTATCCTAAGTTTTAGACAAAGAAACTTACTCTTTCCTTCCTTTCCCTTTCTTATTTATTCCATTAGCTTTCTCAAAGAGCAGGAAGCAAAATTTTATACTCCAGTATTTAGCAGAGCTCTTGGATATAATAGATGTTGGGCAGACATTTGTTTGACTTCATTGGAGATGTGGAATAGTGTGATCTGAAAACTGTAATGTTTACAAACATCCATATTTACTGTGAATGTCATTTTATATTGCAAACTACTTAAAATGGAAACGTTATACAAAATACTTTCCCTATTTTTTAAGTATTATTATTTTTGCCAGTCCTGGGGCTGGAACTCAGGGCCTGAACACTGTCCCTGAGCTTCTTTTGTTCAAGGCTAGCACTCCAACTCTTGAGCCACAGTGTCACTTCTGACTTTTTCTGTTTATGTGGAATCGAACCGAGGCTTCATGCATGCTAGGCAAGAACTCTACCACTAAGCTACATTTCCAGCCTGAACATTTTTTTTTTTTGGTATTTACTTTTAAATGGTCACCACCTACTAAATTTACTTCATGATCTACCAAAAAACACTAACGAATGCACATATATTCGAATAATATTTGATGACTTTTCCTGAGTCTCTCTTTGGTTTAAATAATATCAACACTCTTCTTTCCTTAAGTCTGTTCTCAAACCATTTAATAATTTACTGCGGCCATTGTCCAACTTCTCTCTCTCTCATCTTCTCCAAACTAAGACTCTAAAAAGGGCTTGAGGATTGCCAACAACCGGTGGACGACTTCCCAGCACCAGTACTTCCAGACACAGCTCGCCCCAGATCTTTCTCTCCCTCCATCAATAGGATGGGGCAGCCTTTCCAAAGGCGGCTTGAGTCACCCGCCCTTGGCGATCTTCCTGTCCTGCCCTCAGGTTGTTCGCTGCTAGATTAGAAGAGCATCAGTCCCTTCTCACAAAAATCTAGTTTCACATTCAAGATTTAGTTTCCGGATCCTTGCTTGTTTCCCACTCATCCCTTTCTGGATAGAACGAGTTACAGAACTGGATCGCAGCTGACAGGCTCAAGCTCAAATGGCTCATTTTGACTCTTGGAAGCACTATCAACATTAAGTGTCTCTGACTCTAAAAAACAATGTTGGTTCAACTCTCCAGATCAATTCCCAGAGGGCGGATGGAGGCCGGGAACGGCGCCCCCTGGCGGACAATGGCGAACGGGGCGTGGCCTCTGACCTCGAGTCGGCTGAGTCCAGCTGTGACTCCCGTATGCAAATGTGACGACTCTCCGGCTGACACCAGCACCTCCCATAAATAATTGAGGCCAGCTCGCCAGGGAGTGACATTCCACCCCGGCCGAACTGGCCTACAGCTCCCAGAAGGCCTCGCGCAAGCCCGGAACTCCATCTCCCAGCGGGCCCCGCGCCCCGCCGGGCTGCTCAATGGCCCTTGCTCCGAGTAGCTATCACTTTTTACCTGGCGGCCGAAAATGTCTGGAAGCGGAGGGATAGCGGCGACCTGCCTGGGACAGGGCCCCTCCGTATCGCAACCCGAAATAGATGCACCAACATGTTGGGGCAGGAAGACGGGAGCAGCCGGCAACGACAATTTCACCCTCATCCCACCTAAGGCTCCATGCTGGCTAGGTCCTCCATCCCGACAACACCCTCGCGCCTTGGTGATGATTGGTGGAAAGACACATCAATCTCATGGCAGGCGGTGGTTGGAGAAACCGCTGTCCGCCCGTCCCCTTCTTCCTGCACTGTGATTGGAGGGAATTTCCGCCTCTCCCCGCCCCGACCTGTGGGCGGGGCCGAGCAGGAAGCGGCTCAGTGACGTTCGGCGGGTGTGCCCAGCTCGCACTCCTACTCGGCTGGCCGCGGGGACGCGTCAGCTGTTGACCTCGGGCTGTTTTCCTGATGTTCCTCACGCCCACTAGGTGTACGGGGCTCCCCCGAGGGTGTAGAGCAAAAATCCACCGAGGAGCCGGGTGCCCCGGCCTCACACCTGCAATCTTAGCTCCTCGGGAGATGAGCGCTGAGGATCGTGGTTCGAAGCCCGCCTGGACAGGGAAGTCCTCGACACTCATCCCCAGTTAACCTCGAACATCTGGAAGTGGAGCTGTGGCTCAAGTGACAGAGCTCCAACCTTGAATTACAAAAAGCCTAGGGACAACGCCCAGGCCCCGAGTTCAAACCGCAGGACTGGCGCCTCACCCCACAGGGCCTGGGAACGTCCCCAAAACCAAACCAAAGCATAAAGCATGTGATTTACCAGCCTGACAGAACTCCGGGGGCGGGCTGTGTGTGTGGAACCCTCTGGTCGTTCTAATCTGGATTCCCTAATGAGTTTTTTTCTTTGTCAGTCGTGGGGCCTGAACTCTGGGCCTGGGCGCTGTCCCTCAGCTCTTCAGCTCAAGGCGAGCGCTCTACCACTGGAGCCACGGTGCCACTTCCGGTTTTCTGGTAGTTTATGCGCCACTTCCGGTTTTCTGGTAGTTTATTGGAGATGAGAGTCTCCGGGGATGTTCCTGTCCCGGCTGCCTTTAACTGCGATCCTCAGATCTCAATCTCCTGAGTAGCTAGGATTTCAGGCGTGAGCCACCGATGCCCGGCTTCCTACTACTGAATTTTTGAGAACAGAAAGGCTGAAATTTCTCAAGGTGCAACCTCAGATCTATCTCTGATAGGACTCCCTTCCTTAGCTTGTCTGTCAGACTTGTCTAACCCCCCCCCCCGCCAAAAAAAAGCAACAGTTAGGGGTTTCTGGGGTGTTTTATGTGTCCCTCAGTTCTTTGGTTTCAGTGTCTAAGATTTGGACATGATCCCTGGTATGGTAAAAGAGTAATTAGCAAAGCAAAATTACACCTGGAGGTGTGAGATAGGAAGTTGTTGGTGCTTGAGGTTTTATTATCCAATAGAGTGAGGTTCCTGGGTGCTGTGCCTCAGCTTTTTTTGCTACTTGAGCCACAGCTCCACTTCCAGCTTTTTGATGGTTAATTGGAGATAAGAATCTCATGGACTTTCCTGCCTAGGTTGGCTTCAAATTGTGATCCTCAGAGCTCAGCCTTCTGAGTAGCTAGGATTACAGGTATGAGCTGCCAGTGTCTCACTCTACACTTTATTTTTTTTTTGCAAATCCTGGGGTTTGAACTCAAGGCCTCTGCACTGTCCCTGAGCTTCTTTTGCTCAATAGCATTCTACCACTTGAGCCAGAGCTCCACTTCTGACTTTTTCTGTGTATGTGGTACTGAGGAATTGAACCCAGGGCTTCATGCATGCTAGGCAAGCACTACCACTAAGCCACATCCCCAGCCCTACTCTTTTTTTTTTTTTTGTCGGTCGTGGGGCTTGAACTCTGGGTCTGGGCGCTGTCCCTCAGCTCTTCAGCTCAAGACGAGCGCTCTACCACTTGAGCTACAGTGCCACTTCTGGTTTTCTGGTGGTTTATTGGAGATAGGAGTCTCACGGTCTCTCCTGCCCGGGCTGGCTTTGAACCATGATCCTCAGATCTCAGCCTCCTGAGTAGCTAGGATTACAGGCGTGAGCCACCAGCGCCCGGCACAGCCCTACTCTTTTTTAACCTCAGGACCTCAGGCATGTTAGGCAAATGTTTTTTTAACACAGGCCATCCCCACCTATGCTTTTAAGAAGTTGAGGGCAGATGTCTCTATGCGTTTATTCCTCTGCCCTGTTCAGTTTAGGGCCAAGCATAGAAGATTGTATAGCAGCCATTATGCCCTCATGGCTCAAGAGAGACCTTGATATGAGGACTTCAGGAGGGCACAGATCATCTTACTTTTTTGGGGGGTTGGTTGTGGGGCTTGAACTCAGGACCAGAGTGCTGTTCCTAAGCTTTTTCTCTAAAGGCTAGCACTCCACCACTTTGAGCCACTTCCAGTTTGCTGGTGGTTAACTGACAAGTCTCATAAGCTGGGTGCTGGTGGCTCACGCCTGTCATTCTAGCTATTCAAGAGGCTGAGATTTGAGGATCGAGGTTCAAAGCCAGCAGGAAAGACCGTGAGATTCTTATCTCCAAGAAACCACCAAAAAAACCAGAAGTGGCACTGTGGGTCAAGTCAAGTGGTAGAGCGCTAGCCTTGGGCTGAAAAGCTGAGGGACAGTGCCCAGGCCCAGAGTTCAAACCCAATGACCGACAAAAAAAAAAAAAAGTCTCACAGACTTTCTTGCCCAGGTTTACTTCAAACTGCAATCCTCAAATCTCAGCCTCCAGAGTAGTCTGGATTACAGGCGTGAGCCATTTAGGGTTTTAGGAAATGGAATCTTGCAGCCCAAGGCATTTCCTCATTCTTGCTCAAGTTTACTTATCTGCCCAGCTAGTTAGAGTTTAGAGTTTATTCTTAGGTGTAATTATTTGTTTACATTGTCTTCCTCTTCCTCGGGGCTAACTTCTTGGCTGGGGTGGCTTTCCTTTGTTCATCTAGTTCCCTAATCTTCCACTGTCTGTAAGAGAAGAGTGGGAGAGTTAGTTTAGGCCTGATTTGGATAGTGAATGGGAATTAGGCTGAGATTAGCCTAAAGAGTTTAGAGAAGGGTTCTAGTTTGTGTTATGTAAATTAAATCAGCAGCAGAGGAAAGAGAGAGCAGCAGGTGGTATACAGGCCAGGGAAAGGTTTATTTTCCAGCTGCAGCTCACCTCTGGCCAAGTTGGAAGCCCACGCAGCAGGGATGAAAAAGGGTCGAACCACAGCTGGACCACGACTTATCAAGGCCAGGGGTGGGAGAAAGTGTGGCCACACAGGCACACAGGATTTGGATTGGGGGGGGGAAGGTGACTGCCTCTAAGCGTGCCAGTTACCTAGGTGATGCAGGTACTGGGCGGAAACTTAACCAGGAGGAGGAGTTGTCTGCCCCTTCTTCCCAGGGTGGACCTTACAGTTTGACTATGAACCCCTTTTCCCATGCGCATCTTGACTACTTCCTCCTCTTCTTCCTCCTCCCGTTCCTTCATTATTATTTTCTTTAAGTAGTCAACAAGTCAGATCACGAGATCTTGGCCATTCACCCCTTCTGTCATCGTAATTCTCTCCCTGTCAGTGGTGCTGAGTAATTGCTATCAGGTGGGTGAGGTGAGAGGGCCCAGTCAGAACCTCACAATACCCATCACGACAGAAGTGTCATCATGAGAACCTTCTGGCCCCTCCTCCCCCGCTTGCCCTCATCCTCTACAACATGGCATTCCATTTTTGCAACCTGTTAGAAGGATTCTCATAGTTCTGCTGGGCCGTAATGCATGCAAGCCCAGAGCTTCAGTGGCAATTTCTTTCCCAGAAAGGATGCACAGAGGAGAAAAGAGGCAGCGTGGGCATGAATTGTGGGGCAATTCCACAGTCACCTTCACATTCCTCCAGGAAACCATGTAGAAAGCACCGTTTTCCTCTCTGTTTCTAGGTTACTGGCCCTATGTCCATCCTGGGCCCTATGTCAGTCCTCAGTCTCCAGCCCTGAGGTCCTCTGACACCTGCTGGCTGCACCTCAGATCCTGCTTCAGTAGGGCACCAGGTGACTCAGGGCCTTAGGAATGGCGTTGGGCAAGCCATCGGACCAGCCACCTGGGCCCCCATCTTGGTGACAACAAGAAGTTCAACTCAGCCCATCCTTCCACCTCCTGGGTCTGTGGCTGTCCCCCTCTGCCACTCCTGCTTTGGTGCTTCTCAGGGGCCCCAGAAAGCTAACCAGGACTTGGAGGAGAGGGCACCCATATTTTAAGAGAAGGCACTTCCACGGAACCTTACTGTTCAACTTCACCTTTCTCAAATTATCTCAAACACTAGGCAGGCTTTTCTTCCCTCACTTCTTCCTTTCCTTGGCTTCTCCACCTGGCTGCCAAGCCAGTCTCCCTCCCTACTTCTCTTCCTAGTGTGTTTAGGTGAACCAAACAGTGAGCCATTTATTGAATGGCTTGAATTCAGGGCCTAAGGGCTGTCCCAGAACTACTTTTGCTCAAGGTTAGTGTCCTACTACTTAATCCACTGTGCTACTTCTGGCTTTTTTCTGAGTAGTTATTGGAGATCAGAGTCTTCGGGAACTTTCTTTCCCGGACTAGCCTCAAACTGTGATCCTCAGATCTCAGCTTCTTGAGTAGCTAGGATTACAGGCATAAACCTCTGGCAGCACCAGGCTGAAGACACTTAAGACAGTGATAAGATACTACTTTTGTTGTTGTTGTTGTTTCTTTTGTTTTACTTAGGCCGGGGTGGCTTCCATTTTGTTAGGAGTCCTGGTTCAGTTTGAAGGTGGAGATAATAGGTGTAACTTCTTATCCCAATAAAATCTTCATTGGTGGCCTCCCAATCCTCTGTCCCTGCTGGGCGTGGAGGAGGCTGTGCCGGGAGGGGATTGGCCCCGGGTTGTAGGGAGGGTGAGTGATCACAGGTGACTGCGAGCTGGGACGCCGGAGGCCTAGCCCAGCCTGAGTCACCTCGGGTTGTGTTGTTGTTGTCATCCCTGTCTTTGTTGAAGTCCTCACTTAGCTCCACCAACCTCCATAGATACCGCGACAGCCCGGGAGTCTTCTGCTTCTCAGGAGAAGTCACAACTAGATGGTGAGCCGCAGGGGGTGGGGGGGCAGCAGGGGGCGGCTGGGGCGGTGGGGGGACATGGGGCCCAGCTCAGTGCCCCTGCTCCCCATGCCGCTGCCGCTGCCTGCTCCTCCCTGTAGGGGACCTGGGGGAGGGCGGATCTCTGTCTTCTCTCTGTCTCCTCGCACTACAAGAAGCTCCCCTTCCACGCGGAACTCTCCTTCTGTGGGCTCCCCGTGCCTGGCACTGCAGGGGACCGAGGCTTCTCAGCCTCGACAAAATACCCTCCCTGTGGCCGCCACTCCCTCACCTCAGCCCCAAATGACACCCATCTCTGCCTCCCCATCTTGGGGATCCCACTGTACCCCATCCCTATCCTCGGGCACCCCCCCTCCCTCCCGCCGGTGCCACCAGGACCCTCCTGGGCTGCGGATAGGTCCTCTCATCCCTGAGCAGGAGTATGAACGGCTGGAAGACTGTGACCCCGAGGGGTCCCAAGATTCACCCCTCCACGGGGAGGAGCAGCAACCGCTGCTGCACGTGCCGGAAGGGCTCCGGGGTGAGTGGGTTTGGGACTGGGGTGGGTGGGAGCCTGGGGATGGGGGGGAACGCGGGCTCAGCCCACGCTGGGCCTCTGGGATGGAAGCCTGGTGGCTCAGGTAGCCACCCTGGAACTGACACGCTTCCTTTGTGCCCAGGCTCCTGGCATCACATCCAGAACCTGGATAGCTTCTTCACCAAGATATCCTTTGTGCTCAGTTTGTCAGGGGTGGCATGGGAGGAGCCTCCCCCGCCCCCATTTTGTGTGTGCTAGGCCTGGGGCTTGAACTCACTGCCTGGGTGCTGTCCCTGAGCTTCTTGCTCACGGCTAGTGCCCTACCATTTAAGCCACAGAGCCACTTCCAGCTTTTTGGGGGTTTAGGGAAGATAAGAGTCTCATGGACTTTCCTGTGAGGACTGGCTTCAAACTGCAATCCTGATCTCAGCCTCCTGAGTAGTAGCTCAGGAGGGACCCATTTGGATCCGGCACATTCTTAGCAGACTCTGAGGGTGCTGTGGGTCAGGAGGTGAGCTTCCACAAGGCATCTTGGGAAAGGCCCATTGTGTCTTAGGCTTATTTCTTGACATGCTTGGCACATCTACAGCTACCACCAGCGGAATGGCTTTGTCTGCATCCTGCTGGAGGACATCTTCCAGCTGGGGTGAGACACTGATCCAAGTTCTGTCCCCTTGCTTCCCTCCGTAGTCAAGCCTGCTGCTTCTAGTCCATCCCGAGCCCAGGGCTCTGGGGGAGAGAGGGGGACCGCCCTAGGCTTGACTGGGAACCGGGGCGGGAGATCCCATCTCATCTCTGCCACTTCCCACCACAGACAATTCATTTTCATTGTCACCTTCACTACCTTCCTCCTTCGCTGTGTGGATTACGATGTTCTCTTTGCCAACCAACCAAATAACCGGACAAGATCTGGACCATTCCATAACAAGGTGACCCTGTCAGATGCCATCCTGCCCTCAGCCCAGTGTGCCGAGAGGTGAGTGAGGTTGGGATTCATGTGGAGGGGGGGGCACCCCTGCTCTTTGGCTAGATCAGCTCTCACAATCTTTTGGGGCTTGAACTCTGGGCCTGGGCGCTGTCCCTTAGCTTTTCCCACTCAAGGTGAGCACTCTACCACTTGAGCCACTCAGCTCCACTTCCAGTTTTCTGAGTGGTTTATTGGAGCTAAGAGTCTCATGGACTTCCCTGCCTGGGCTGGCTTTGAACCATGATCCTCAGATCTCAGACTGAGTAGCTAGGATTACAGGCGTGAGCCACTAGCACCTGGCTTGCCTTCAAGTCTTAAAGTGAATTTTAAAGTACACTGAGTGATGGAGACTGGTGAAGAGCCTTTGTTTAGGAGTCATGTTTATTTTTATTTACTTGGTGAAAAATTAAAGGTGAGGCCATCTTTTATTTTTGTGATGAGGACCAAACCTAGAGCCTCAGGTATTCTCGGCAGTTGTACACTGAGCCACATCCCCAGCCCTGAGGTCAGAGTTACTTCATTTTAGTTTCGTTTGTGTGTGTGCTGGTACTGGAGTGGGTACTCAGGACCTGGGTACTCCTTGGCTTTTTCACTCAAGGCTGGCTGGCACTCTATTACTTGAGCCATACCTCCACTTATGGCTTCCCCCCCACTCCCTTGTCCTGGGGCCTGGGTGCTGTCCCTGGGCTCCTTTTTTTTTTTTTTTGTTCAAGGCTATAGCACTCTACCACTTGAGCCACAGCACCACCTCCAGACTTTTCTGTGATTAATTGGACATAAGAGTCTCACAGACTTCCCAACCCCTGCTGGTTTCAAAATACAATCCTCAGATCTCAGCCTTCTGAGTAGTTAGAATTACAGGCGCGGGGCTGTAATTTAACTTAAGCAAAAAGAAAAAAGCTGGAAGTGGTGCTGTGGCTCAGGCTCAAGTGGTAGAGCGCTAGCCTTGAGCTGAAGAGCTGAGGGACAGCACCCAGGCCTAGAGTTCAGGCCCCATGACTGGACCCTCCCCCCAAAAAAAATTACAGGCCTAAGCCACCAGCACCTAGCAGCTCCTGGCTTTTTTCTTTCTTTCTTTCTTTTTTTTTGGTTGGTCGTGGGGCTTGAACTCTGGGCCTAGGCGCTGTCCCTGTGCTCTTCAGCTCAAGGTGAGCGCTCTACCGCTTGAGCCAAAGAGCCAGTTTTCTAGTGGTTTACCGGAGATAAGAGTCTCACAGATGTTCCTGCCCCTGCTGGCTTTGAACTACAATCCTCAGATCTCAGCCTCCTGAGTAGCTAGGATTACAGGTGTGAGCCACCAGTGTCCGGCCTCCTGGCTTTTTTTTTTTTTTTGTCGGTCATGGGGCTTGAACTCTGGGCCTGGGCACTGTCCTTCAACTCTTCAGCTCAAGGAGAGCCCTCTACCACTTGAGCTACAACACCACTTCCATAAAATGCTGCTGGGATTTGTTTTTTGTCGGTTGTGGGGCCTGAACTCTGGGCCTGGGCACTGTCCTTCAACTCTTCAGCTCAAGGCTAGTGCTTTACCACTTGAGCCATAGCGCCACTTCCGGCTTTTTCTGCTTATGTGGTGCTGAGGAATCGAACCCAGGGCCTCAGGCATGCAAGGCAAGCGCTTTACCACTGAGCCACCTTCCCAGCTCCTCTGGCTTTTTTGTGTGCCTAACTGGAGCTAAGAATCTCATGGACTTTCCTGCCCAGGCTGGCATTGACTCTGATCTCAGATCTCAGCCTCCTGAGTAACTAGAATTACAGGTGTGAGTCACTAGTGCCCACCACTGAGGTCAACATTAAGGTCTATGAAAGCACATGTCTTAGCTGGAACTGGTGCCTCATGCCTGTAAGCGTAGTTACTCAGGAGGCTGAGATCTGAGGATCACAGTTCAAAGCCAGCCCACGTGGAAGTCCATGAGACTCTAATCTCCAATTAACTACCATAAAACCAGAAGTGGAGCTGTGGCTTAAAGTGGTCGAGCAAAAAAAAGCTCAGGGACAACACCCAGACTCTGAGTTCATCAAGCCCCATGACCCCCATACAAAAAAGTATTAACTTTGCAGTCATCTGTGAAGGCCTTTTTGGGGATCTTTCCTTGGACTTCACCTGGAGAACTGTTGGTCTTTTAAACTCCTCCCAGTATCCATCTCTGTGGGCTTTCCACTTTTCTACACCAAGACCTGTCCAACCCCATACAGGATCCATGACAGTCCCCTGCTGGTCTTCCTCTTGGTGCTGGCTGCTGGCTTCTGGCTGTTCCAGCTGCTTCGCTCAGTCTGCAACCTCTTCAGCTACTGGGACATCCAAGTGTTCTACAGGGAAGCCTTGCACATCCCTCCGGTGAGCGGAGCAGGCGCCTCTACAGGGAAGGGTGGGTAGAGGCGAGGCGGAGGGGGCAGCACACAGACGAAGGACCAGCTGGGGAATGAGGCCTTCATGAATGTGCCCTGGACTAGAGTACCCTTATTAATTTGTTTGTTTATTTATTGCTGGTTGTGGGACTTAAACTCAGGGCCTGGGCACTACCCCTGGGGTAATTTGCAGAAGCCCAGTCTACCACTTTGGGCCACAGGCTCCACTTTTTTTTTTTTTTGCCAGTCCTGGGGCTTGAACTCGGGGCCTGGGCACTGTCCCTGAGCTGCTTTTGCTCAAGGCTACCACTTGAGCCACAGCACCATTTCTGCCTTTTTCTGTTTATGTGATACTGAGGAATTGAACCCATGGCTTCATGCAGGCTATCAATAATCTCTATCAATAATCCACATTTCCAGCTCTCCTTTATTTATGTATAGTTAGTTAGTGCTGGTCCTGGGGTTTGAGTTCAGGGCCTGGGCACTGTCCTTGAGCATCTTTTTGTTAATTGTTAGCAGTCTACCATAGCTCTACTTCTGGCTTTTTGGTAGTTCAGAGAACTTTCTTGCCTGGGCTAGCTTTAAACTGCAATCCTCAGATCTCAGCCTCCTGAGTAGGTAGAATTACAGGTGTGAGCCACCAGACTAAGCTCCTTTATTGATATGGGTCATACAAGATGACTTATAGTCATATGCCATGATGTAAAAACAATGGGTGCTTGGAGGAAGGGCTGTCACCTGACTTTCTAGAGCAGAGGGCATTCTGGTTGGGTTTGGAAGGTCAGATGAGAGGCATTTTGTTGTTCTCAGGACAGGAAGTAGGGAAGAGCAATGAGCACTTGCTTGTGCGCCTTCCTGGAAGGGAGCCTGGTTATTTATGCTGCCCCTCTTGTTTGTGCTGGCTGTTTCTTGCTCCGAATGGAAGTTTTTGGTTAAAGGCACTCCTCAGCCCTGCAGTGGACAGAGATGGATAGAGGAGTGCCAGTGTGATCTCTGCTTTTCTTTTCCTTTTTGATGGTGCCTGTACTGGGGCTTGAACTCAGAGCCTGAGTGCTGTCTTTTAGCTTCTATTGCTCAAGGTTGACACTCCACTTCTGGCTTTAAACTGGTTAATTGGGGATAAGAGTCTCGTGGACTTGCTTGCCTGGGCTGGCTTCGCCAACCACACTCCTCAGATCTCAGCCTCCTCTACTGCCTCACAACAACCAGTTTGAAGGAGCTGAGAAGCAGGGTCTGACACCTGGAGTTTAAAGGGGGGGTGTCACCAGGAAGCACATGATTAATGGCTACATGAGTGACAGCCAGGGTCAGGAGCAGAACACTCCAGAAGGAAATGAAAGCCAAAGGACTCCTGTTGGCCCCCAGGGTTCGAGGAGGGCTGAAAGCCAGGCGTCCGTGGGTGAGGAGGCCATGGGGGCTGCGGCTCTGGCCTTGGCGAGGGTGTGGCGGTTTGCAGGCCGCCTGCCTGTGGCATCTCCACGGAGGGGAATCCGGTCTGCGGTGCTCACCGACCCCTCTCTTTAGGAGGACCTGGGCTCCGTGCCCTGGGCGGAGGTGCAGTCCCGTCTCCTGGAGCTGCAGAGGAGCGGGGGTCTGTGCGTGCAGCCGCGCCCCCTGACCGAACTGGACGTCCACCACCGCATCCTCCGCTACACCAACTACCAGGTGGCCTTGGCCAACAAGGGCCTGCTGCCGGCCCGCTGCTCGCTGCCCTGGGGAGGCAGCGTGGGCTTCCTGAGCCGCGGCCTGGCGCTCAACATCGACCTGCTCCTCTTCCGCGGCCCCTTCTCGCTCTTCCGCGGGGGCTGGGAGCTGCCCGAGGAGTACAAGCGCCGCGAGCAGCGGGGCGCGCTGGCGGCGCGCTGGGGGCGCACGGTGCTGCTGCTGGCGGCCGTGAACCTGGCGCTGAGCCCGCTGGTGCTGGCCTGGCAGGTGC